TTCAAAGTACGCAGTGTCTGACAGGCAAAAGGTAGAGCTTGGCAACTTGTTTTTTAATTTCTCTATTGCCATCCGAATGTCCACAACTCGAACATTGTTGTCCGGCCCGGGATATACATGAATTATTCTACCTATAATTTCCGCAGAAGAGGTGAGTGTTTTCCTTCCCTAATCAGAACTAAGTTATTTACAGACAAATTTCCTTGAAATTTCTTCCACATATTTCGATGTTGTAACTCATAGAGATATTCTCGGCTCCGTGTTTCCCAAGAGTTTTGGAAAACTAGTTGTCTCATCTTCCACCGGTCACGAATGTACTTCGATTGTTCTAAAATTTCTCAGCCAAAGATATGAGAAATGTACCAAAGAAGAAGTGTCCAGGTGTGAGAACAGTAATATCGTTTGGATCACAAGATTGTGGATACAATGGCCTCGAGTTCATACAGGCCTCAACCTGTGTTTCCAAATTTACGAATTCAGAATAAATAAAAATAGCTGCTCCCCCTGATCTTCGAAAATGATGCTTTATAGATTTTACTGCAGATTCCCAAAATGTGGTGCGACTGGAGGAATGAAATTCTATTTCACATTTTTTTAAGTCAAACAGTCATGGAAATGCTCATTTTTCTGACATAACAGAAGGTCTTGCGTATTTTTTTTTTGCTAGCATCCATGAAGTTCGTTCGAATCTTTTAAATATTTCTCTTGGGTTTCCTCTCCTGGCTATGAACCGTTTTAATGCTTCCACACAAGTCTTAGAGGAAAAATCTTCGACGACATCAAAATAAACTGCTTTCCTGGTTAAGCAAATAAAAATGCAAACATAACACTTGAAAACCCTTTGGCCATGGCCTGCTCTGTGTTTTATCAAAAATGGGCCTTCAAAATCCATCCCAGCTCGAGGAAAGGATCTTAAAGCTGTAACTCTAAACGATGGAAGCTCAGCCATTATCTGTCTTGCAATTTGGGCACGGTGTCTACAGCAAGCAAAATAATTGTTATGGATGATTTCAGATCTAGCAGCGACAATCCAGAAATTTTTTATTCTTATAGAAACTAAAAGTGCAGGAGGTGCATGCAAATACGTTTCGGGATAATGCCTAATGATAAGTTTAGAAATGAAACGTTTTTGAGGAATAAGCATGGGATGCCATTGATTTTCTAAAATGTATGAATACTTTAATCGCCCTCCAACAAGAATAACTCCTTCTTCATCAAGGAATGGACTTAAGGATAGTAGTCGGGTGTTCAATTTCACAGATTTTCCACTCCAGTTTTAGAATCAGATATGATTTCCATGTGTTGCCAATGCAAATGTTCATCAAGACTTTCCTTCAGATTAAGTTACACAGATTAGGTCTGTTAACGAACCTATTTTGCAAAAGTAAAAACTTCCTCAACGCTAATTCCCTTGAATCCCCTAATTCTGATAGTTATGTTTTGAATGGTAATTTTAGTACATATCTATCTGCACTGTCTCTGTTATGAGAGTTTTTAAAATGTTCTTCACACTTTGCTTCGGATTTCGAGAGAACAATGTCTTCGGGGACTGTTTCGAGAGTACAAAATTTCTTCATTAATTCCTCAGTATTTAATTCTAAATTATTTAACGATATACAAAAGTTCACAAAAGAATTAAATAATGTTGTTCCCGAAATGATCCAACCTAATTTCGAACGAACAACTGTTGGAAGTTCTCGGTTTCGTTTAATTGGTTCACCCAAAACAAGTGAAATGAAAACATTAACTCCTAGAAGATTATCTATTAGAGCAGATTCATAAAGTGCCAAAACTATATCATTGAAAACGTTTACAATATTTGATAGCAATGATACGTCCGGTAAGTTTCCGCATACCTTGTCTATAACAAAAACAGAAGTTGTAAAGTATCAAAAATACTAGAAACATCTGCAATTAGATTATTTCATTTCTTTTTGGAAAGCTCGATTTTTGCCTCATCTGCGTTAACAATGTCCGAGTTAGTTTTATCTTTCAATTTAGTTAAATTTCCTTTAGCGACTCCTTTCTTTATTAATAGTGATTTCATTTCTATTATGAAAAGATAAAGCTAACTTATCCTTAACTGAAACAGCAGATATGTTCTCAAATGTGTTAGCAAGAGTTAGTTGAATCCAAATTTATTTAATTAGTAGCACGAAAAACACGTATTATCCATTAGGCGATGACAAAGAAATGTTCGTAGCAAAAATCAAATCATATTCCAAGCAAAGCGTTGCAAACTAGTCTACAATCCTAAATCCGAAAACAAAATGGCTTATGTGGCGTACGTAGCGTTGTAACATACGAAATCAAAATTCAGCAATAATAATTATTGTTATTATAATACCCATTGGGTCTCCGAAGGACCAAAAACTGACTAAGCGATGTAAAATAACACTACTAAGCAGTATGTATGTATGAAAAAGCGTTTTTTTATTCTCAAGTAAAAAACAATCACCTACCCTCGGCGCCAAAACGCGAGAGTCACGTGATATACTTATAAGGCATTTCTCCCACTTCCCTAGGGTGCCTTCGTGATGTAACAGCAGTACGCTGGGCCGGTATTCCAGAGGTCCGTGGTTCGATTCCCGGCGAAGGCGTTGCATATTTTTAATCTTTTCTGCTTCCAATTAACCTAATTACTCTACAGTGGCGCCCGAACTAAAAGGGTTGTGGATGATGATTCTCTGCACACAGGATTTGGCGACTATGTTCCTTAAAACCCTAGTCGCCCTTTAAAAAGGGGAGTATATAAGGTATTTCTCCCACTTCTCTAGCGTGCCTACGTGGTGTAACGGTAACACGTTTGGCGGTATTTTAGAGGTCCGTGGTTCGATTCCCGGCGAAGGCGGTTGCTAATTTTTCATCTCTCTGGCTTCCAAACAATCCTAATGTCTCTACATACTAGCAACGCCATCTGCATCAACTTAAGTTTAATAATAACAACATTAATTATAAAGCCGCCCATATGGTATAGTGGTTAGGGGAGCCTGACTGCAATAACGAAGGGCCCGGGTTCGAATTCTGGAGAGGGCATTGAGGTAAAAATTTTCTGTCCCTCCATAGGGGGCAATCGTGGCCCACCTATTAGATGCCTCCATAATAAAGATATGCCCGATATGGCCTTAGGAGTGGGCGATGCCAGCATAGGCAAGTGCCCGCCATTAGAAAAAAAATATTAATTATAAATATATCTTAGTAATGAAAGCAAGGTAACTATAAAAACACATGAATGCTTGAAAGAGACCACGAAATATTATACAGATGAGTTTATTATAAGGTAACCCGACAATTGAACGAGGAAACCTTTCCTTCTCTTCGTTTACAATGCAAACTAGAGGTGGAACAGCGAATCTTGCTGAGGTTTCGTATCCTGAATTTTATTCAAGTTTTAAATACAAAAATGTGTTCGGACGCCATCTCGTCTTTCGAAAATCTCCTATTCAGGTACACTCGTATCCAGAGGTACCACTATATTTCATTACTGTTTTCATGAACTGAATAGTAGAAATTCGGCTAGTAAGAAGAGAGTTCTTTCAATAAAATTCCTCTTTCAACAAAATTTGCATAAAATTGGTTTGTATTTTAAAACATAATAGCTCATTTTATTCTCTGAATAATGTTCACGCATAAACATGTATACACTATGGCATCAGAAGTTTTCGAAGATCATAATGTTTTAGGGTATAAGAGCTGAATTTTGTCAATTACCAAGCAGTCAGCGCATCTTTAGCTTGTATGGGTAACGTGACCACATCAGGATATCTTATCAATTGGTTTCCGATTTGTTTGCTATAAACAGGTGCGGCTCGCCGGATGGCTTGTAAATTTTCAGGCAAAAATGAGCTGAAGAATGAACATTGCGTTCGCTTTTATTCCCATCGTTCTAGTTTATCTGTTGCCCAGCAGTAGCAGAAAAGGCAAGTAAACAGCGGTAGCCAGATTGAAATTTGAATTTTGGACGAACGTCTGACTGCAGAGATACTTTCGTGATGTCATCCACGTGTAACTGAATACCAGACAGTTTTCCATACAAACGGGCATATGAACATATTTTAACAAGGTTTTTAACAAGGCTTTTTCCTTAAGTTTCTGCGATCTTTATGAGCGCATTTTGTTTGTCATTGATCACATTGTTATGTTCCATTTATCAAGATATCACATAAGTCGATTTCGATATTTCGAGATCAGATGCATTCTTCGTATGGAAACATTATTCAGATCAATATAAATAATTTTAATGCATTAACAATAAAGTCAAATGCCGCAAAGGTACTAAAAGTTAATGTTTAAAAATACTGGAATCATTACCTCAAAATACTGAAATAGAGAGAGTTTTAGTTTGGTTTGGTTTATTTGATGAAAGCAAAGCACTCGATCGATATCTGCCTGAGGAGAGTGATGCTTTCATGGAGGACATTTTAAGGGAAACTAACTCGTATACACTTTACACATGGAAAAAACACGAAACCGCCCATGCAGCCAACCCGTACACGGGGATCCGAGCCTCGGACCGAGCTACCAGTGTCCAGCGACTTTATTCTTCGGCCGTTGATGAGCAGAATAGAGAGAGGATCTAGGGAACGAGAGTGTTGACAAAATTGGACTTTAAAGAAATGTTTTGAAAAAATTCAGTAGCGTCTCTACTTCATTCAGGGAAACAATAAACAGGCCTTCGTCTGCATTAAGGTGTCTGGGTTGTTTTGGTACGAAACGATTCAAGAATCTATCCCTGAATATACTTTTCATGCTATCATCAAGAAATCATTTATGCTCTTATGATGTTATACATTTTCGTTTTTAATACTCTTCTCCTTGCTAAAACTATTATCTTGGCAAGGAGAATATACGCCTGATAATAATATCTTCTGTTTATTTACTATCAAAGCGCTGAATTTATTTTAATATATTGCGTTTTATCATACGTTATATAAATAACTGCATTTTATATAACTTTATACTATGACATCATTTAAATATTTTATATTTACTTTTACCAGGTTACATGAAAGAAGAAATGGATAACCAACGTAATATAGCGCTTACAGAGAATTTTATGCATTATGATCAGTATGGAAGGAGAAATATTTACAATGACAGTGAAGAACAACCAAGAACAAAGTTTGGCGGTGAATACGCTTCATCCAGATCATTCGCTATAAGGAGAAGTTACGATAACCCTAACTATAAAACTCAGTTTTCTGAGGAAGACGTAAAACCAGCGTCATCAGATCATCGCTTGTCATTTGATCCCCGAGGAGGCTACGAAGGCCAAAACAGAGGGTATTACTCAAGAACAGAGGATTCATATTTTACATATGGAAGAGGTGATTATAGAAGATATTAAGCCTAATCTGCGTCGAGAATGAGAACAAAAGAACTTCAGCCATTCAGATTGTAAAAAATAAATCTAAATTTTCAATGTGATTCATTTAAAAAATCTTATAACTATTTTGTAATATTCAAAATATTTATGCAATGCAAATTAGTGAATCTTAAGGAAATCAGAACACTTCATAAATGGATTTCAAGTGATCAAAAAGTTTTTAAATTGCTCTGTAACACTACATTTTGAGAAATTGTTTTAAGAATGTTCTGTAACATTAAATATTTCATTTTCTTAATTATATTTAAAAGATGTGTCTATAATTTACTTAGCGTTAAACTATTTTAAAGGCTTTAATTATTATAATGAAGTTTTTAATTATTTTCCACGAAAAGTAATTGTTTTAATCACCACTGAAAATAATTTTAGATGTATAATTTAATAATTTTATTTGTAATTTAATTTGTGCTACAATAACTGAATAAATAAATAAAGGAAATAGGTCAAATTTACTTACAAAGTATTTCAAAAACAGTTATGTGATTTTATCATTTACACCACACAGTTATACTTTTGAATTTAAAAATCTTGCATGTAACTTAAAGAATTTAATAATTATTAAAATGCAAAGCTTATAGTAGTTACTCGCATAAAAATGAAAAACTTAAACTTTTATATTGTGTTAAAAAATAAATAAATCATTACCCCTCTATTCCCGAATAATTACATTTTTAATTAAAAAGGAGATGGATGGGGATAATTTCGTAGAGATGAAAATAACTTGTAACTTGTACAAATATTTTATTTCTCATAAGAAGTTTCGGATGAATTGGGGAAACATATATATAATATAGTTTTCAAATAGTTTTTAGTACTGAATAGAGTAGTTAAAGCCAGAAAATACTAGCCGTTTTCTATCATAGCTGGTGAATGGGCTGTCCACATGAGGATTTTATGGTTTACTCTAAGTATATAAAGTGCGTCAATTTATTTCCCAGATTAGCCCATGATGTAACCACCGAAATCCCGTAGATATTCATACTCAGATAGTATATCTGAACGTAAATGTTTATTTGATACAAGCAGGTATTAGTTATTGGTAAAAGCAACGCACATATAATATATTAATATACATAATGTAGATATCTGTACATGTGTGTTTCGTTCTAACAATGGAGGATCAAGATTTAGAGCAGTACATTAGATTATATGTGAAAATCGGAAAATTTACTACTGAAACTTTAGAGTTATTTTAGAGTTGTTGAAAGTGCCATATAGTGAGCGGACCATCAAAACTCTAAGATTGTTTGAGGGAAATAAGAGATTCAATATAAAGATTTCTGCGAATTTACACTTCATATGTACATGCTCTTGTGAGGTAATTTCTGGTCAAGTATACAATAACCTAAATAAAACCTCTTACATAGTCACCTGACTAAGTTTCCTGCGTATTGGGAGTTTCGGAGTTAAAAATCTACGCCACACGGACGAGGATATTTTAATGTAACTGGCATCCAATTTAATACAGAGACAGATATTCAAAATTATTCCGGAAAATGAGTTCCAGGCCTTTTTCAAGAAATGGGAAAGCTGTCTAATTCAGCGCTTAGATGCATAAAGTACTTTGAAGGCGACATCTACTAACGTAAAATTATGAATGTATATTTTAAAAAAATGCGTTCCGGAAATTAAATTATCAAATCTTGCATAATGCACATACCAGTCACTTTCCCTTATAAAATGGCGAAGGTTCATCCATAAGGGCATTCGTCTTTTTTAAGCGCATAGGTTTCGACTACATTGTCATCAACAAAGCATTCAATTTATAGACATATGCGATTACTATTTCTGCAAGTCAACTGTACTATTTTAACTATGTGACCCACAAATTTCACCCAAATATTTTCGAACTGGATATTTCTGTGAGTTTTTCACTGTAGTTCTTTTTTTAATTGGCATACGGGCTCTTTAAATCATTGTATGATTTTCATTATGGAAACTTCACTTATTTTTTTAATACCAGTTTTCCCGCACGTTTGAAAAACATTTAATTCATTTCTTCTCAGAATTCGTTGAGAGTTTCAAATGAAAATGTAAGTGTAGCATTAGTGGTTCGAAAGGCAAAGCCGCAATCAATTTTTTTTAAACTAGAAACATGCATTTTCATACTTTCATTTTAAGTATTTCAAATAAATAAACAAAATAAATTTTGCTTTCCTTTTTCTTTAATTTCGGTGTCAGTTTCCAGGAGAAGGGACAGAATGTCAGTGAAACGCACTCTAATCGTTATATGTAATTCTCTAAATACTAAATGGTATACTAAATTCAGTGAAATACTGAAATAGCTCTACATAAAAGATATGCTTACGTGGAAGAAATTAATTTTGGGTAGAATGTAAACTATAATGGAGATATCTCACAGAATGTAATTTACAAGAGCATTTAATGCCAAAATGTAACACAAGCGCTGTTATGGCTTCATTACCCGACACTAGGACACTGTGGCTGGGAATCAAATAAGTACTCTGATTATACAAATCCTGCTACTTTCTGAGAATATTTTTAGTTGACCCGTTGCACATAAAGAACTAAATAGGAACTCACGAAAACGTTTATGAAATTAACCAGAGCCACTGAAATCGAATCTTAAATAAAACTACTAGTCTTCCTGAGTTTTAGCTCTTAACTTTTCCGCAAAAGAATAAATTAAATAAATAAATTCATTATAGCATCCTTTACAAATAATGAGTTTACAGATTATGTAGTTTAGATTATGTTAGTAGTTAGATTTACAGATTATGTATTAGCACAGCTCATAAAATACAAAAATTTTATTCTTATAAAATTTCAATAATAATCAAGGAAGGTAGAATTCTGCCAATTAATCAGATAGCTTAATTTATCATGATATCATATGCTTATTCTTTATAACTTTTCTGAATATACAGTAAGTTACCTCTACCTCTTGTCCATATCCAGTCATAAATACCTGACCAGAATAAGATCTGTTGACGCAAAAGACGCACTTCCAGAAGATCTTTCGTTCCGGGTTTTATTTCTGGTAATTGAACAGGCCTAGCAGCGTAAAGTTTCCGTAGTTTTCCCCATGCAACGTAAATAAGGGCCAATTCCTCTTATAAATCTCTCGACGAAGGCATCCTTCCCCATATGCAGATAGTCTTAGTGAGCTTTGTACGAGTAGTAATTAAATAACCCCAGTCCCTCCTCTTTCTGAAATGGGGTCTGATGTCTGCTAGGCATTCAAACTGACCCTATTCATTCTGGCCTTTTTCTGAAGCCTTGGGGCTCACATTAAGGATTTAGTAAAAAATGACTAAGTTCGAACGTCATGAGATAAAAAAGGTTTGGTTACACGTACATTCCAACTTCCTCATTCTAATAACACATTTTCTTAGATCTAAGAAGTATGTTGTACATACGTACATTGCGGGGGAAAAAGGGGCGACAGTTCTATATCTCCCTTTCTACTGAGCCGATCGATGAAATTCAACTTGCGTTTTTCATGCCTTGAAAGCGCGACTTAGGATGTGTATTAGATCTACATATAGCATTGTTCTAACATAGGTATTCTGACTCAAAATCAGACGTTTTCTGAAATAACATAACATTTTTTTTTCCATATTTCAATTCTACGACTCAAATTACGCCAAACTACGAAGTTTTGTAAAAATCGCACAAGTAGATTTTTAAAATTTAGCTTTCAAAATTTTTAGCTTCTCCATGTTAATTGAGTTTGGTATATATATTTTATTAATTTCTCTTTTTTTATTAAACTTATTTGATTCTTCTTTTCACATTTCGAAATTTAGGTTCATTTCAAATAAGATTCGCCCATTTTTTATGATTTATTTTTAAAATTTGTATTTTAAATAATTTTTATAAGTTTTTGAAAAAAATTTTGAATTATAATCTATAAAATTTTTACCATCATCTTAAAGTAGATTTATTTCTAAGCATACCTGAAAAAAAAAGATATACGTGAATTTATATATTGGCGCGTTTTTGAAATTTGGAATATTTGTTGAAAGCGATAAAACATCAAATGTGGTTTAGACACTTTGCTAAAATTATTTGAAAGTAAGAATGATGTGACTTTTTTCCCTCTCACGCACAATGTAAAAAGGTAGGAACGAGGTGCTTTTTTTTTTCCGCTACGGCATAATGGAAGGGAAAGGGTGATTGGTTGTCATATATTATTAAAAGTTCGCCAAGTGAATTATTCTTGGCTCAAACTGAAAAAAATGGCGCCAAGATAAATTCTTGAATTTCTCCGTAAATTTCGCACCAAATTTTACAAAATGTAATATCTATGCATAATTTGAGTAGTAGAATCGAAATATGGGGAAAAGTGGGATATTTTAGGATATTGTAGAACTGTCTTCTTCTTCTTCTTTTTCTTTTCTTTTTTTTTTTTTTTTTTTTTTTTTTTTTTTTTTTTTTGTGCAGTGTACCTATATACTGTGATCTTTGATATCGCGTTTCATCACGAGCGTATGACTCTTACATATGATCGGGTCTTATCGTAATTTACGTTTTTTCATATACTTGCTTTATAGCAATCTAAAGACTGTAGAATTATTATTTAATAGCGTCATTTACAGATTAGTTATGGAAAATGCCTTGTCTTCATGTGAACAGCTTATTATTACTATAAAAGGAAACCTTACTCTTTTATACGTTACACATGCGAAAAACCACGAAAGAGCTCTTGTAATCGGCCCGTTCGCCTGAATTTGATCCCCCGGACCTAACTACCCGTGTTCAGCGACTTTACCGCTCGGCCATTGGTGGGGCTTTAGGTGCGTGCATTTGAACACAGAGAAAGTAAGCCTAAGTTATAAATTTCTTATACATATTTTACTCACAATCAGGAATTTTATTTCCTTGTTGCTCCTGTGAATATCTCACCAGCCACAGATTTGATAAAACATATGTCTTTGCTATTGATAATGTAAATTAAGTTTAAATTCTCTTAACAGACACACAGAAAGTTCTCCCAAGCTAATAACCATTGAGTACTTTAGCGGAAATAAATTAGGCTTGACTTCACTTGGCAACAGATATATAAATAAACTTCATGGTTCCCCAATATATAATATGAATGCAAGCCAGTTTTCTTTAGGAACTCCTCCATGAAGCCATCCTTTCCCTGAGATAGACAGCTCTGGTGCGTTTTGCATATTCGAAAGAAAACAAAAACTAATGCTATTATATTTCCTAATAATGATCCAATAAAAAATCAATAAACAACAGAGATGGTACAAAATCCATCAAAATTGTTC